CAATTAACTTCTGATATATACCCAAAAATCTCCAAAATGTCGTAATCCATAGAATCATATTCAACGCGGTCTCAAACTATTTAGAGGTAGATAACTTTTCAATGAACCATTGTGCACATGCTAAAAATTGTCCTGATCAGATCATGCCAAAGTTACATTGGTTTGGTATGGTCCACTAAACACAAACTAGTACAGCAACTGTCTTGCTGTAACATGAACAAAGACCCCATAGATGAACTGTCACAAGACAAAGCCTTCTGAGTAGATTTCTTGTCAGTTTGTTTTCAAGATCATATTTTTGAAAGATCATGGAAGTTTCATAGAGACAGAGAGAAAAAGTTTGTAGTTTAAATGACTTGTTAAGAACTCTACGAGTATAAGGGCAACATTATTGGAGGGTTCTTGCATTTGTTTCTTAAATATTATATATATGTAAACCTTAACCAACAATTATATACGCATATATAATTTCTAAAAAACAAATGCAAGAACCCTCCCAATAATATTGCCCTTTGCAATCTTACACGTTCTGTTAACCAATGATAAGGCACTAAAACAATCACCACAGATGTTAAAAACACACAAAATACTACAAATTTGTTTTGACTTAAGACAGCTAGGATTTGAATTCAGTTGACTAGGATGATCTAATCTTTGATTTATCAAGAACCACATATATAGAAGAAAGAACAAGTTCTTGGCTTCAAGAAAGAGAGATGACATATGCATGTGGCAGACCACATCTAGTGGTTACCCTACAAACCCGAAACTCTCAACCAAAGAAAAGGGTTTTTGTATTCTACACATGAGTGTACCATACTTTAACACCCACTTCCTTGAATTAGGGTTAACAAGGCAAATAAGTAATGTATCTATACCGTCCAATTAAATCAAAGAAAGTATCTTTTGGCTATAGATGAAAGTGTCCCACGAATGTCCCCAAAATGATGGGACACACTTTGCATCAAAGTTGATGCTACTGTTTGCTACCCGACAGCTTTAGCTTTTGCCTTTGTCCTTAACTTAAGTTAAAACTCTATTATTTTCCTTTCAAAAATATATCTTTATTTTTCTAAATTCCTATAAAACACTCTTTCTTCACGTAGCCTCATATTATCAATAACTCTTTCTCTCTCTAGACAACCAACACACAAGAACAAAGTTTCTTTCCTTGAAGATTAATCTTGCTAAGAAATGGAAAACGTTGGTGTTTGTGATGAGTTTGTTAACCTAAAGGCAACAGAGCTGAGATTAGGGTTACCAGGAACAGAAGATGGATGTGAAGAGGAGAAACAAAAGGTTTCTTGCATTAAAAGCAACAAAAGAGCCTTACCTGAACCTGAGAAAAACAATGAATCTAAAACTGAGACAGCTTCTCCTCCAAAGTAAGTGTTTCAATGGATTACAAGAAAACTATGTCTGATAATGTGTAGATCTGATCTGATTAATTACAAATTCTGTTTCTTTTCAGGGCACAGATTGTTGGATGGCCACCTGTAAGATCTTACAGGAAGAACAATATTCAGACCAAGAAGAATGAATCTGAAGGTCAAGGAATGTATGTGAAAGTTAGTATGGATGGTGCTCCATATCTGAGGAAGATAGATCTAACGGTGTATAAGCAATATCCAGAATTGATGAAATCACTTGAAAACATGTTTAAGTTCTCTGTGGGAGAATATTTTGAGAGAGAAGGATATAAAGGATCAGAGTTTGTGCCTACTTATGAAGACAAAGATGGTGACTGGATGCTTGTTGGAGATGTTCCTTGGGAGTAAGTAAAACATTTCATTCATACATGCAGTTTTGTTTTTATTCTGTTAATTAGGTGTTTTGTGTATTTATGGTGTTTTTGTTTGTTGTTGTTACAGGATGTTTGTTTCTTCTTGTAAGAGGTTGAGGATCATGAAAGGATCAGAAGTTAAAGGTCTAGGTTGTGGTGTTTAAGTAATATGTAATTGAGACAGAAGATCAAAGAGAAGATTCAAAACAGAGTTTTTGTTTTTCTCTGTTTTAAAGAATTAAAAGAGGCTTTGAAACTGCTTGGGTTTTCGAAGAAATATGTGTCATACAAAACATAACAGTGAATCTTTTTACCTCATCGGTTAATGATTCTCACTTTCTTGTGGTGTTCTTGATTCTGATGGTAACAAATGTAACAGAGAGATGTTTAAACGGTGGTTAAGCATAAGTGTGAGGAGATATCTAATCCAAACTGTAGCTCTCTACCTCAGTTTTCTAAATCTGAACAGTATGTGTGCTTTTTTAATGTAATGGAAACCATTTTGTGTTATGTTCTCTTCTGTTTACTAGATCTGTGTATAAAATTTTGAAAAAAATGCATCATCAAACCAAGATCTTATATTAAGATAAATCATCGCAAATGTTACTGATCATCAAACTAAGATTGTATATTAAGATTACGCCTTAATTAAGAGAAACCACAGTCCATTAATGGGTTTTTAATTTTGATTGGATCAAGCTATAACCTAACTTGCAGATGAACACAACTGGTTTATGGCAGAAATTATATTAAAAAAATAGCCAGGTTTTAAGCAAGTGGTCCTTGGATTCTAGTTTCTAATAACTTAATTTATACATATTTAATCACAAAAGAGAGAGATTAAACAAATACAAGAAATCTTAATCGAGCAGTGAGAATAATTTTTGGGACTTTGTAAATGTTTATATTATCTTTATCTGTCAACAAATGTTTATATTATCTTGTGTATGTAGTTTTGATTCTTACCGATACTTTGGTCCCCCACACCTTCAACAAGTAGATCTACCCAACTGTGCTAATTTGTCTCCACTATCACTTTAAATAATCTCACAATTTATGAATAAGAAATTAATAGTATCTATGAAAACTTGGAAACTGAGTCTTTTCTTCAAAAGATGGTATAGGTTCTTTGAATTTGGAGTTCTTGAGGAGACTTTCCTTTGTGCTCAAACATCTTATATTAATACTAAAATACGGTTTGATGCAAGATGATTATCAGTTAACGAACTCAAGAAATATCAAGAACCAAAATCGTAATCCTTCTTTTTTGGAACATCTAAGATATATATAAGAGAAATTTGATTAGAAGAGTATAATTTATTATCATCTATAACTCTAACAAAGTTAACTCTTGACCGGTTAGGCCGTTGCTACTACCACTAGAGATACTATCAGGATGTGGTCTCTTCTCCAATGTTCGAACCGAAACCAATACAACCGAGAGGCCCGTAATTATCAGCTTAGCTCGGTTCACATCTTCACCAGCTGTAGAAGAGGTGATCTGAGTAAACTGCTAAGTCAAAGAGTAGCCATAAGTACTTAATCTGAATTATTTTTAAAATGCATAAACAAGTCAAAGGCTTAAAGTTAACAAAGAAAATGCATGTTGAAAAACAGAGTTCCTTTTTTTTTTTGTAACGGTTTCTGCGAGGAAGAACTGAGAACTGTTTATGAAATTATACATCTGCAATGTGACAATAACCACAAGGACATTTTGCCCTGTCTTGCAAATTAGCCACAAAGTCACGTCCTGCGTCAAGATACCTGTTGTAAACGAAGAATATGTTTTTGTACTTCTTGTATAATGAAAGATAAGAACTGAGAAAGCTAACTACTTAACCTAGGACCTTTGAAATCAACCTTGTCCTCAAGGTTGAAAGGCAAAAACTGACAGCTCTTCTATTTGATCTCTTCCTGCTCAACAACCGTTCACGTACGTTTTGTCTTGACAACTTCAAATCTATTGTGAACACGAAGCAGGAAGCTACCTTTGTACTGCTCCTAAGGTGCTTCTTTGTACGTTTAGGAACACTGAACATCACATAGATGACGACTAAAGCAAAGAGATTCTCATATTGCTTTCCTTGCCGATTTCTTTTGATAGCATCCTCAACCATATCCCAAGCAATCCTATTCCCCACAGAAGTGGTCCAGACTAGTCAAGTGTTGCCATGTGTCCGTACTTTGTCTCTGGCGATGCCGATATGTTAATTTTCCAGTGGTTGGGACTCGAACCCTGGTGGCTTCACCGTATTGGGCTTTTACCAATAGATTGCATCCCTTTTACGTGTCCTGTTTCTCACTACAAGAAATAAGGGTTTTAATAGCACCCGTAAAGCGCTATCATACGATACCATAGCGTTGTAGAAAGCGCTCCAATATCGCCCGCGATAATAGGTCTGGTCCATTAGATAGCAGTTTTCTTATCCGCTATTGATATTATTTTAGTAATAACGTTTTCGTTTATGCAATTGTAATTTTTTCTAATAGCATCTCTAAAATGTTATTATAACATTTTTACTATAACAGTTTTTAAATTTTATCTATACAAAGATAGCAAATGTGTTGTGTTATTAATTTATTTTTAATTATTAGAAAATTTATTAAAAATAATTATGAATTTTTTTTTTTTTTTTGACATCCAATTATGAATTGATTTTATAATTTAAAAAAAATATTTATTAAATTCAGTTTTACAAAACTAAATTAATTAACCCTAAACCTAATTTTACAAAACTTAACTAATTAACCCAAACCAAAACCTAAACCTAATATTACAAAACTAAAATCAGTCAGCTTCTTCCTCTCCAAGCCCAGCTTTCGTCTCTACTCCTTCGGTTTCACCACTCTCTCTCTGCTTCTAGCTTCATCATGCCTCCCCTTCCGGAAAATCTAGCTATCTTTTATTGCCGCCACCACTACCACCGTTAGCTTCCTCTGCCATCTCCACAACACAGCTTCTTCAGATCCGACGCTTCTCCGCCCCATCCATCACAACAAGCTCATCCCATCCACCTCGCAGCCTTTCCACCTCTTTCGTCAAGCTTATTGCACGGACTCATAAAGGGAACATGACCTGCTGCAAATTTATGGAAACTCTGAGAATGTCAAAAACTTTGAATACCAAATAACCCATCAGAAAGAAAAGTACATACAAAGCCCTTAACCATTTTTTACTTGCACAAACACACACAAAGAAGATTGATTAGATACTAAGCGAAAGTTTTTCAGCTTCTCCAGCAAAGAACCAAAAGGAGAAAGTAGCAGCGTCATGCGAGCAAGTGTGATCAGTATCACAATGATTGCCATAAATTTCAAAATATATTAGCCCCTTTATCAACTGACCGAAACAGTCAAACTCAGACAAGCTAAAGGGCTTAATAGCGAACAAACTCATGAAAATTACAGAATGATGAAACAAATCAGACAAGCTAAAACCTAAAACAATACCTTGCAACCGTTTGGAGATATTTTTGGATACTCATTCCTCTTGGACCTCTGCAACACACATAATTAACGAAACGAACTTTAACTTCGATCAAACCATATAAGAACAAAAAAATACAGAGAGAATGAGAGACAGAGAAGTGATCAATGGTGGTTATGACGAGCGTGTCGGTGGTGATGGCGACTCCGGTGAAGACGGATATGAGTAGCGATGGTGGTGGTGACGAGCGACGGGGGACGGGAGAGATGGCGATGGTGGTGGTGGTGGTAACGAACGATGGTGGTGGTGGTAGTGACGAGCGGCCGTCGCTTCTTCTCCCTTCTCTACAAACTCCATCTCTTCTCTCTCTCTTGCTTCTCTGGCCGAAGAGACGATCCCTGAGAAGAGGCTGATGTCTCACCTTTTGGCTGGTGCGGCGGAGAGATTTTAGATCTATCTGGAGGCCGGCGAGGAAGAGGAAGAGAAGGAGGCCGAGGTTTGCTAGGGCTTCGAGCACAACTAACCCAGTCGCCTCTCTCTCTTTTTTTTTTGACCTCTCTCTCTCTCTCAAACGCGTTCTGTTCTCAGAAAAAAATGGAAAAAAGAAACAAATCTGAATCGTTGATTCAGTACGATCTAACGGTGCAGAGGATGATCCGCGCCTAACCAATAAAAACCAAGGGTGGAGATAGATAAGATATTGATTTTGGGCCTTTGATTTAAAAATCAATCAATGGCTTAGAAAAAAACAGTAAAAATTATCTTCTATTTATTTATAATTATTTTAAATTATTAAAACTTTAAATATTTGATATCATAATTTAAAATTTTAATCTGTATATTTTATTTAAAATTTTAAATCGTGTGAATTAAAAATTAAAATTTAATGTTTATGTGATATACTTCAATATAAGGTATGTGGTTTGGAATTTAGGGATTGAAGTTATATTATGAATATACTAATTTTATTTAGACTTTATATTTTGTATAACTTCGTAATTTAGTATAAAATAAGTGTTATAAATTTAAAATATTATGATTTTAATACTTATTGTATAGAGTTTGGAATATGATATAGGGTTTGTAGTATAAGTAGGACTATGGGTATTATGTAGGATTTGTATTATAATGTTTAAACTTGAAATTTCTGTATGATATATAATATGATTTTGGATTAAAATGTTTAAAGTTGAAGGTTTATGAATAAAATGAAATTCAAGATATAGGGTTTGAGATATGTAGTTAGGGTTTAGGGCATGTTTAGGGTTTAGAACTTAAGGTAATTTTTTTCTTTTTATAATTTATTATTAGTGTTAGATTTTATTTTCATCATATTAAGGTAAATTTTATTTATTTATTTATGAATTATTGCTTTAAAATCATTAATAAATATAAATTACTCTAATAAAACACAAGTAAATCACTAATAAATATAATTTGGATGTGATACATAGATTTGATAAACACAATCTTTATTTTATTATGAAATTTCATATTTATTGAACAATCATAAAAGAATGTTATTTACAAATCAAAATTTTAAATATAGCCTTGTTCCACCCACTTATTGAACAATCATATAGTTTTCCATTAGAATTTTAAAACCCACAAAGTCAATATATGAAAACATGAACTAAAAGTCTATACATGAAAACATGAACTAAAAGCATGAAGCTCTTCTCTTCACCACCATCAAGCTATACTTTAGTGCTTCTTATCAGAACAATCAATCTCAGCATGAGCTCCACGGTATTAACCATCAACAAAAATATTCTTGTTACCTACAGCTGGGCTACTATAATCCCCTCATGTTTCCATGACTAACACTGTTAGCACTTCTTGATGTATTAGGAGGGGGATTCAGAGACGGCAGAAGGGTTCTCCTCATAACTTGTTGAGCAGGCAGCTTCTTATCATCCACACCAGAGACATTAGAGCTAACAACATTCTCATCATTCCTTGTAAATGTTGTAGAGTCTCTTGGCAAATAACTCGGGGCACCACTGTGAGAAGTTTGAGTAGTATTATTGCTACCTACAGCTGGACTAGTATTATCCGCCTTGTTGGCATGACTTACACTGTTAGCACTTCTTGAAGGAGCAGGAGGCGAATTAAAAGAAGGTGGAAGGGTTCGTTTCTGAGGTTGTTGAGCAGGGAGCTTTGTAGAGTCTCTTGACTGAGATGGGGCATTACTAACATATGTTTGAGTGTGAACCTCAGAGGAACCCTTTTGAGGGAAGCTTCGGCTACCTGCAATTCAAAGCAAAATAAAACATCACGTTGGGAGAGATGTTGAGCGAGTTCAACCGCTCCTTCACTATAATCTGTCTCGGTTAAATCAGAAAACCTGAGCCAGAAAAAATACAAGGATGATGAGGTTAATAATACTAAGTAGAGTATTAACGTAACGTTCTAATGGACATGCACTGGTGTGTAAATGTTCTGTTGAAGTAAGAAAATTATCAATGATACGGCCGTAGATACTCATATCTCCAAAAGTCATCATGCCAAACATGACTTGGTGCAAGAGTGAAAGAAGAAAGTCAACACAAGAACTATGCAGCAGCAGACAAAGCCAGTCTACAAAGACATGACTATATCTTGTTTATTTTGAATCCAACATGATTCTCATTTCTTAACTTCTCAGACGTACCTAATGTCAATCAGCTAATATAAAACGAAGGATGTCATAACATAGCTACACACTTAGTATTAGTAACAGAGCTTGAAAAAAAAATGTTAAGAAGCTCACCCCTCCTTAGCAAGCTGATGAAGAAGTAAACCATTTCCAGTACCAAGGTCAAGCACATTCCAGCTAGACAAATACTTGTCAGCCCGATCATTCACCTCACCATTATCAGAAACAGACATCTCCTTCTTAGAAATCTCAACGCACAAGTCTTTTGTCCAAGAAGTAACAATCTCCATCACATCATCACCAAACCTAAAGATATCACAAAAAGGAAACGAAACAAGTTAACAAAACTTCCACTAAGCTAATGACCAGAGAAGTAGAGGATCCTTAACTTACCAAACCTCGCCGGTATGGCCATGCTCCCTAAAATTAGAGAGCTCATCAGAGTAAGCAGTGTCCCAATAGCTTTGGAGACCAAGCATTGACTGTCCTCCATCTGCATCTGGCTCTTCCTTATCAGAACTGAAACACTCAACAGATTTAGTAAACCCTCAGATCTGGAAAAATCATTTAAAATCTCCAATAAAAAAATCCCTAAATCTTCATTCTTATTAGCCCAAGCTTTTCTGTGATTTCCGGAAAGTATACCTGTAATATGAAGAGACGCGGAAGTTGGCGGAGGAGAGACCCTCGGCTGCGTCGGCGTGGCGCTGATCGTCGTCGAGAGTGCTTCTGTACTCGCTCTTGATTGACCATGAATCTGCTGCAATAGATCGATCGTCGTCGGAAGCCAAACTGTCGGTTGTTGTTGCTCTAGCCTGTTGCTGAGGAAAAAGACAATTACAACTTTAACTTACGAATCTCCCGTTAATGAATCAAATAAAAAAAAAAACAAAACTATTTTATTATATAAAACCAGGAAAAAAATAACTTAGAATATTTTGATTAAAATTACAGATATACAATAGCATTTAATTTTAGATATGCAATCTTAGGGCACTTACACTCAGCAAATTAACGCGCCTAATTTTTTTATTTTCCCGCTGTAACAATTATAGCGTTTTTAATTGATAAACGCTATAAACAAAACAAGTGTTGATATACAATAGCAGAAATACCAAAAACGCTATGCTACGATGCTATCAATACCCACATTTCCTGTAGTGTCTCCATCTTCAATTACATTATTCACAATTAGGGTCCTTTCACCACTGTCTAATTTTTATTTTTCTCTCATGAGAGGTGAAGAAGATAAAGAAAGAAGCTTGTGCCTTCTGCTTGTCTGAAACTAACATGTCGTTGGCGTCTTTGCTAACATGCTTAGCTAACAAAATATTAGAAAGTATAACCATAGTTCTTAGGGCGCTTCCAACTCGCAACCATAAAGCTGAACTAAAACCTTTTAAAATGAGAAGCTATCCATAAACCTGTTGGTGAAATAAAACAGTCTTTGCTGTCTTTCTTTGGCATGTTCTGCCTCTCTTTAAACTTCCCTTTTTTCCATTTGACAAGCTTCTTGAGAACCTCTACATCTCGCCATAAACACTTTTCTAGCAGTAACCACTTTTCCAGGTTTATGTTTGGTCGTGTATTATTTGGTCTTCGTTAAGTTTTGTTATAAGAATAGAGATTTCAAGTCGGGTTTGAGAAACCCTGAGAAAACCAAGAATAGTGGGGAAATAGGTATGCGATTATACTTTGAGATATATTTGGTGATATCTCGTAAACATTATTTGAGAATTGATTTGATATATATTATCTCAACAATCATCTATTCTATTAATTATGCATTACAAACTATGAGAATATTACATAAACGATATTATAGTCGACAATTTTACCTGTCTTATGCGGATTCACGTCTGACTATATCACTCTGAGCCGCCCTACGAAATCCATTCATGATAGTACGACTTGCGTCTTATGTGAATTCACGTCTGACTGCATCACATTGAGCCGCCATATGAAATCCATTCCTGATGATATGACTTGCGCCATGCTGAAGATCGACTTGTTGCATAGCCTGGAATTCGAACTCTAGACCTAGTGTATAAGCCTTTAAATCTTAATCAATAGGTTAAAGTGCTTCCACCAAATCGATTGTTAGATCATTTCTTTGCTAACTTAACAAATTAAACTATATATATATATATATATATATATATATATATATATATATATATATATATATATATATATATATATACTATTAATATGTGTTATTAGATATTTTCCTTCTTTAACTCATTGTTTAATGTTCTATTTTGTGGAACATTAACAAGCTCAATATATATTAATTTCTAAATCATAGCAAACGAGAACTTTTGCTCATAATCCATAATCAAATGTTCTAAACAAGTTTTAAAATCCTAACTATTAAATATCCAAAATAGTATATTACTGTATCCAATCCTAGCAAATTATATGCATATTTAACTATTTATATCTAAATGCTTTCATAAACTATAGTCCAATTATAAAATCTATGTAATATATATACATGTAGTGTATAGGAAATTATTTTGGTTATATGCTCATTTGTAGTTACTTATGTATTCAACTAATACCTAGGTGAATTACGATACAAATTATCTTTATATTGATGATCTACAAGGAATAGTTAGGGTTTATAGTTAACTATGTAGGATGTTGTTTTGGTATAACAAACCATCGACGTATTTAAAATACGTGTTAATCATAATTTGGAAACATATAGAGTTGAAAGAAGTTATATATAATTTATGTATATGCTATAGATCTACAAAGTATATATTTTGTACTACAAACATACACTTTATTATTCCACGTTTCAATGCTGATCGTATTCTAGTTTTTATTTATAATACTAGAAATATAAAATATTTAAATTTTTTGAAATATTATTTAAGTCTATTTTATAATCATAAAGAATTTATAACTAAATCAGATTATCAAAATTTATACAATTTTTTAAAAAAAATTATAAACTTTTAATCATAACATCGTTTGTTTTCTTTTAATATCTTAAAATTTAGAAATTCTGTTTAGTTTTATTTTTTTGATGATTATAAAAAATTATATGATATTTTTTTATAAAAAATTATATGATATTTTTTTATAAAAAAATCTAGAAATTAATTTAATATATCTTAACCAAAAGAAATAATTGAAAATATATTTAAGATTATAATTATATATATATATATATATTTCTTAAATATAAATTAAAAATAAATTAAATTTTTTATTATTACATAATTGTATATTTAACTATATTAAATATTGGGGAGTATTACATAACTTATATGAAAATAATTAAATCTAGAATATTAACAGTAATTTATATTAAATATAATTTAAATTTAAAGTTTTACTGCTGCACATAGCGCAAAAAACACCTGATTTGATATGATTTGTGGGAAAATAGTTTGTCGACCCAAATTAATGACTAGAATTTTGAAGTATGACAAGATTACCTAATAAATATTACTATTTATGTATCAAATATTGATTCATTTAAAGATACCTAAATAAATTAATGAAGAAAATGATTAAATTATGGTAATATTTCTAAATAAAATATAATTAAATTTGGCTATTTACTATAAATTTAATAAAATCAAAGTTAAATTAAACATTAAGCTAAAGATAAAAACTATTAAATATATTTTTATTTTATTTTCAAAATTTTAAATTTTTTCTACTGAAAAATTAAAATTAGTAAATTTAATTTTTTTTACTATTATTTTCATATCAAAAATTTATTTTTGTGCTTAGCACAAAAAACACCAAGTTATTACATTGATTTGGTATAAAAAAGATTGAGTCGTTTGTCGCAGTTGTCTTTTGATCGGTTGAGCGCATCTCGTACATCATCAATCCTGGATTTTTCAGCGTCTCCCTTAGGTCTTTCCGGAATCTCCTTTGATTTTGTTACGAAGGTCATTTTCACCTGATTGAATCAGGCCAGACTTAAATTTGTTGTGTAAACATTCCCAAAACTTCAGAAGATTTAATGAAATTTTGAACTGGACAAGTTTAAGCCACATAATTAAATGAATCACAAATACACAATATAAAACATACTAGTTGTTCATTTTGATATGAACTTGCAATTAGAATGGTGTGAAATACGCAGAAAGAGTTGCATAAGATTCAAAAACCAAAGGAGAAAAAAACAATATTCCGGTCTTAATTATCTGACTCCAAAAATATAAGTAAACGTGATCATATAGCGGTTTCCTACATTTCTGTACCAGACCATATCCGTATTTGAATAATTGATCTTTTATATTTATAAATTAATCCACCTGTCTTTAGATTTAAATATAAAAACATGAATGGTGAATGTTTATTGGTAAAACATTTTTAAAGGGATGAAGAAACCCGTAAAGATGCTTCACTTGAAATCTTGAAACTAATGTTCCTAATGTTTAACCCAAAAATGGTGCATTTGTTGGATTTAGACAATAAATTTGTGTGTAGGTTTAGAAGAAATCTTCATAGATATCAAATGGAAAAATAGAACACATAAGAGATTTTATTAATAAAAGATTGCATTACAAAGAGTGTAAAGTGAATCAAAATCTTTAAAATCTCTATGGAAATGTGTTCTTGCTCTAAGAAGAGNTGTTTAACCCAAAAATGGTGCATTTGTTGGATTTAGACAATAAATTTGTGTGTAGGTTTAGAAGAAATCTTCATAGATATCAAATGGAAAAATAGAACACATAAGAGATTTTATTAATAAAAGATTGCATTACAAAGAGTGTAAAGTGAATCAAAATCTTTAAAATCTCTATGGAAATGTGTTCTTGCTCTAAGAAGAGAGCAATCTAAGAAGAGACTAAAGAGAAGCCCCCCTTCTAAGAAAGAGGTGACTCCTTCTTATAGAAAAGTGTCTAGGGCTTCCTAGTAGAATGAGCATAATTCATCCACATATGTCTGGTTCATCCACAATCCTCAGATCGAAGTCCCTGGTTCATCCACAATCTTCTGGTCGTTTCTCCTTTCACGTTTGCTAACAGCAGCAGGTGCTTTAGGAGCTGGAGCAGCAGACAGAGTCGCGGGGCTTGGGTGGTGCCACGTATCTAGGTTTTCGAACCACTGGAGGATGCTTTAGCTTTTAAAGGAGCAGCGTTTCTTGCCATTGATTCAACCATGGCGGCATAAGATTTCTCAGCCCCATCAAGCGTAGGAGCAGCTCTATTAGCAACTGTCTCTTTGGGTTTCTGAGCAGTACAGCTTCTTCAAAAGAGTTCTTGTTACTACCATTGGTTCCGGCAGTCTACGCATCACATCATCTGCCCGAGATGAGAAGAGTTCAGTAAGATCAAACTCAGGCTCAGTCATGATCTCTAGAGCATCTCAAAGCAGTGTATAGCTCTGTTCAAGCCCCGAGGAAAAAAAAAAAAAAAAGAGAGAAGGAAAGCAGAGCACACGATGGACCATGACCAGCTCGTGATCACCTGCTTCAAAACTCTCATCTCCAACAACTCACGACATCTCATACTCAAAGATAAGCTCTTTTATTAAACTATCACATGTTCTAATAATTTTTAAATTAATGCTACGGTACATTGTGGCTTTGATTTAAACTATTAAACAGCTCTAAGCTGTTCATTCTCGTATGAGATGGATCATGTTATTGCTTTACTATTTCCTTTGCTTGCTTATAACTCTAAGCCTATGAGCATTAAGCACAAGCAAGTTCCGTTGCTTTCTAATTGATTATGCAGAACTTGGTTACCACTTTTAATCTATATTGATCTAATCATGATCGTACTTTTTGTGAACCAGAGAGTTGTTAAGCCAAAGAGAAGTCACGTGACGACCTTGGAACAACAATCTGATCCCGACATCCAGCTTCATTATCGGAAGTCATCTCATCTTGTCACTCTTTTGCAAGCTTGAAAAGGAGACACCAAGATGCTGTTACGAGTTGGGCAAGAGCAAGATTCATCCCGCCAACTCAACTGTCGATTTCATCACT